TCTTATCCTTGTGAGATTTCTTGTCCTTCTTGGACTTCTTGTCCTTCTTCTTGCTCGAGTCGCCATCCGAATCGGACGAGTCGCTCTTGTGCTGCGTCGGCTGCGTCGGGGGCGGCGGAGCCAACGCCTTGGCATTCGCTTTCAACTCCTGCACCTCGGCGCGGGCGAGCTGCTCGATTGTATTCGAGTAGCCGCCCCTGATGTCCACGCGGTAGCAAGTTCCGATAATATTGTGCTCCTCGGTGTCCTTGCACTCCCTCTCGATGCGGTCAGCGTCGAATCCACGCGTGGCGTAGACTGACAACGGCAGATACTCCCCGCCCACTTGGGCAACCTCCCGCTCGATCCGAGTCGTCGTGAGAGTCTGGACGAACAGCTCCTCAAGCTGGTCCTTGCCAGCCTTCTCCTTTGCGCCCTGCCAGAACTTCGCTTGCACTGAGGGGTCCAGCCTCCTAAAGCTGGCGGGCGGCCACGATCCAATCAAGCGGCTCAACTGCGCCCCGCGCGCGTTGCACTTGTCGCACTTCCACGAGCCGCTGGATTTCCCCACCATTGGTGCCCTCAGGACATCGACCTCTTGCTTACACCTGTAGCACGTTGGGTTTGACGGCTGGTGCCTGACCTCTGGAGCCTGCCAGACGAAGCGCTCGTTCTTGGACACGGGGCCGTTGCCTGGCGCCGCCGTCGCGGAATGAGTTTCTGGCACAGCCGTCGCGGAACCAGCGTCTGTGGCAGGGGCCGCAGGGGCTTCGCCTCCGACGGGGGGCACCCCGGAAGAAACAGCAGCCCCAGACGAGGCAGCGTCGTCGCCATCGGGCGCCCCGCCCTCGAAGTCACCCTAGTCGGCCACCTCGGCGGGAGCCCCGAGCGCCAACGCCGTCGCCGTCAAGCTAGCGACAGTCTCCGAGTCAGAGGCAACCGACTCTGGCGCTTTGTACTTCGACCACCAAGCTTTCGTGGCGTCGGTCGCCATCACGATGTCCTTGGCCTTGCCCTTGGCCTTGCCCTTGGTCGTGGGCTTGGCCTTGGCCTTGGGAGCGGGGTCCGCGGCAGGCGGCGGCATCAGCGCCAACTGCGACGACATATGCGCCGCGAGAGGCGAGAGCGGGCACGGGGGGCAGAAGCCTGCGCGCGCTGCCAAGCAAAACGGCTGCGAATGGAATCGTGAAGGAGGCGGTGGTGGTTTGCGGTTCAGGGTGGTTGAGGTTCGAGATCGAGAATGGCGGGGGGGCAAGATGATTGAAACCGCGAAGGAATGCCGATAACATCGGATAACATCCGATAACAATTCGATAACGGTTATCGGAGGTCACGCTAACGCACGATAACACCCGATAGCAGTCACCGATAACATCCGGTAGCAACGTTATCGGAGCCATTTTCGGCTCCGATAGCCGTTATCGGCGCTATCGGGCGTTATCGGGTGTTATTTCGATGTTATCGGCTCTGTTGGCGCTGCCGATCACAAAGAGTTATCGGCGTTATCGGTTGTTATTGGGCGCTCCGATAACACCGTTATCGAAACGTTATCGGTCGTTATCGGTTGCTATCGGTTGTTATCGGTTCGTGGCGGATGATCCGCCGATTAGCGGGTGAACCGCCATTGACAACGATCCTAAACGATGAGCGCGCAGATGATGGTGCGAACGTCTGCTGGTGCATCCAGCGATCGATTGCCGTCCGCAGAGTGCGCCCGACGCGAGCGCGCGAAGCGAGGGGCCGACGCGCGTGGCCAAAACTCAGAGGTTCACCAGCAGCATCTCGACTACCTGATGTTGATCACGCGCGTAGGCTGAACGTACGACTCGATCACCTCGACGCACTGCTGGATGCACGTGACCTCCTCGTTGAAAGCACGAGAAGCTTTGGCGCGCAGGTTCGCCGCGCTCTCCGCCGAGACCTTGGCGCGCTTCAGCGAGTCGACGCATGCCCGCAACTGCATCTCTGAGAGCGTGATCCGACCCGTGCCAGCACCCGTCGGCGGTGCGCTGAGACCCACGCGATCTTCGGTCCACTGCAGCTGCTGATGGGGCTTGCGCTTCTTGACAGACTCCCACTTGGCGGCGTCGTTTGCCCACTGCTTCTTGTCGACGTCCCAGGACTCGATCTAGGAGTAATCGACGGCCATTTCGGCCTCGTGCCGCTCGAGCCCGCGGCAAGGTGAAGTTTCCAAGTGATGGATCACCGACGCGACGGCCTCCTCGTACGAGTTGCAGTTCTCGATGGTCGAGCTGCGCTTGCTGCACTGCGAGCCGAAAGGGCACTTGCCACCCCGCGCAGTCCACGTCGGGCTCGCATCGTCGTCCGCTTGCACTGCGCCCGCAATCTCGGCGGCCGTGGCCGACGCAGCTGCCGACATGGAGACGGGCAGAAAGGGGGCGACAGGCGATGTGCAAAGCGCTGCTTGAGCCAAGACGCCTATGCGGAACAAAAGCTGTGCGGCTGCATGTCCGAACTACGTGCGACGAGATGCCGCGCGCGCGCGCTGACGCACGTGCGCACGCAGGCGGATAAGCCGCCAGGGCGGTTGAGCCGCCGAAGAGGACTCATCTTTTTTCCAAGCGCCACAATGCGCGTCACAGAAAGGGCAACGGCCTGCCCTCGCCGGCGCCCTGTGGATCCGTCGCCCGCCGCTTAGGCCTGCGAGCAGGCGACGGCGTCCGAGGCGCTGGACGCTTGGGCGTGGGGGAGAGGAAGCCCTTGCCGGGCTTGCCCTTGCTCTTGGCCGCGTCCTTGTGGGCGCCCTTGCCGTTGCCCGCGTCCTTGCGGGCGCCCTTGCCTTTGTCCTGATCCGCGCCCTTGCCCTTGCAATTGTCCGCGTCCTTGTAGGTGCCCTCGCCTTGCTCGCCATCGCCCTTGCCCTCCGTGGCGCGCTTGTTCTCGCCCTTGGCAGCCCGCTCGCCCGGGCCCTTTCCTGCGTCCGCGGAGCGCGCGATCGGCGGGGCGGTTGGCGGCGTCATCTTGGGCGTCGGCAGGGCCTTGTAAGCTGGAGGCACGAACGTCGGCGGCGCCACAATGGGTTGCTGGGGCTTTGGGCGGCCGACCGCCATCATGCGCGCGATCCCCTTGCAATTGCTCGAGCGCTCGGCCTCGTCCTCCTGAAGGCCTCGGCGCCTCGCTCCTTGCCGAACTTCGCAACGAAGGTTTCTAGCCGCAAGCTGCGGCGTCGGTCCTCGTCCTCGAGGAATGCTTGCGTGCCTCGCTCCTTGCCGAACTTCGCCTGGAACTCTGCCAGCCACATGCTGCGGCCGCCACGGGGGCCCCACCGACCGCTCTTCGCCCTCCAGGCTTGGCCCCTCCACTCCTTGGGCCCCCCCTGGAGCGGGCCAGGAGGGCCCCGTGCCTTGAACTTCTTGTGGCACTTGAACTCCAAGACCAACGTCTTCTCGACGTTGACGACGGCGGGATCGTTCCAGTCCACGGCGAGCGGGCCCATTGCCATGAGCAGGGCAATCCGTCAGGATCCGCGTTCATGAACTGCTGGACGCGTCCTGCCGCGCCTTCTGGAAGGACCTGATCGTCCGCTTCGCCTGCCTTGTCACCTAGAACTTCGTCGACAGCGCGCCCCAGAGCAGCATAGTCGACCTGGGTGCGGCCGACCTCCGAACTGCCGACTTCCACCTCCAGAGTCGCCGACGCAGAGGAGCTCGAAACTGCAGGCTCCTCCAGCGGGCTCCCGCGGACAGGCTCCACGGTGCCAGATGCCTCGAGCGCCTTCCTGAGGCAGCTGATCATTTGCGTCCGCTCGACGTCCATCTTATCGAACGCATCGCCGGCCTCTTCGAAGAAGCTCTGGAGGTCTTCGAAGGCAGACTTCTTCGGCGCCGCCATGGCGCCCCTGCGAGCCCGTCGCGAGCGCGCAACCCTGGGCCCAAACGGCTATGGCATCGAAAACAAATGAACGCCCCCACCCCCCAGCCCGCCTCGAAACGCACAACTCAACCCCGACGCCATCTCCGCCCACCGGACTCAACCAATAAAAATCTCAGGTCTCCGATCCCTCCTCGTTCTCATCCCTCTGAACTCTGACCATGCCATCCCTCCAGATGCCTGCTCGTGCCTCCCTGCCACTGCCGCAACGCGCAAACGCAATCGACGAACGACGACCTGACGCAACATGGCACGTAGCGGGTGATCCGCCGATAGCGGTTGATCCGCTTTTTTTCCAACGCCTTTTCTCGCAAAGCAGTGGTGCGAATAGAGGTCCAAAAGAGTTCACCGAAGAACGAGCTCCATCACGAGCACGCGCAACGCGCACCAGGCAGAGAAACTGAACGCCGATGCCATCCGTAGCACTACCCACGACATGGCAAAGTGCTCATGCCGACGGCCACCCGTCGGCACGGCTGCACTGACATGCACGCCGGCACTTCGCGCGACAGCTACGCGTAGCCGTCGCCCCCTCAGCTGCCGATGCAAATCCGATTCTTGATCCATTGCTCGGCGGCCTTCTTGGCCGTCTCCTTCGTGTAGCCTGTGTTCGGGCCCCACTTGAACGCCTTGGTCGAGCAAGGGCCCCTCCCGTAGTGCGCGACGCACTGGCTGCGCGCGTTCTCGACGCTGATTTTGGTCTCCACCGCAGGCTTGCCAACAAAGGCCGCCGCTGGCTTCTTCACGCACTTCGTCTTTGCCTTGGCCTTGTGCTGGGCCTTGCCCTTCGCCTGGGCCTTGGTCCCCTTCTCCTGCTGCATGGCAGCGTGCACGTGCATTGCCGCGGCTTCCACCGAGTCAATCTTCTTCGCCTTCTTCGTCGTCGCAGCCCCCCCAGAGGCATCCGCCGAGTGGCCGTCCCCGAGGGCGAGCTGGGGCTGAGGCTGCGGCGGCGGCTGCTGCTGCTGCTGCAGCTGCTCCTGGAGCTGCTTGACCTGCAGCTGCAGGTTGTGGTTGTCTTGTTGCTGCTGCAGCTGCATCTGCTGCTGTTGCTGCAGCTGCTGCTGCTGCTGATGCTGGATGTCCGTCAACGCGAGCTGCCCTGCGGCCGACGTCGCCGCCGATTGCACGCCAGCGAGGCTGCGCGGCTGCTTCTGCGTGAACGTCAACATCGAACCGTTCGCGAGCCTCTCTTGCTGAGAGTGCTGCAGCGTCTGCCCCATCATCTGCTGCATAGCCTGCAACGTGGGCGACGAGGCGGGGCCAGTTTGCCTGTCCCGCCACTTGAACGCCTTAGCCACCACAGAGACATCGACGTAAGACACTCCGATGTTTGCAGGGCCACCGTCGCCGTACGCAGCGACCCACGTGGCGGGGAACGCAGCTCGGAACGCGTTGGGGTCAGTGGGGAGCGAGACCATCTTCTCCAAGGGCTCTGCCTTGACCAAGCCTTTTCCACACCGTCTTGACGTGGTCACAAGTGTCTTTCAAGAAGTGGGGGCTCATGCTGCGGGCCGTCGGGGCACCCTCTACGCAGATCGTCACGAGGGCCGTCAAATGCGCGTAGGTGCCTTCTGACGGGCTCGTGAGGCCCAGCTTCGTCGAGAGAAACGACAGAACGGTGCGAGCCTTGTGCAAGACGTCCCCGCTGGGGTCGTTGAGCACGGCCCACACTTCACCACTCAAAAAGTACGGGAAACGCTCGAAACTTTGCGACGTCCACGTCCCGCCGCTGGTTGTGGACACCGTGGCCAAAGCGTTCTGCAACAGCTGGGCGTCGGCAGGCGCGAAGCTGTCTTGCTGCGCCAAACCCGCGAGGCGAATGAGCAAGTGGCCCTGCGGGCGCACCGGTCCGACGAGCTCGACCAGCCGAGCAGCCTGTGTACTCGACGCCTGCCTCCACGCGGCCTCTCCCTGGTCCTTGGCAGCGCGCAGTAAGGGGCCCGTCGCCTCGGCGCGCTGAAGGAGCTCCTGCTGGAGCGCCATTGTCGGGCATGCAGCGCAGCAGCAAGACGCGCCGCGGCCCCGCGGCAGCTCGGGCCGACAAGGCTGCAATAAAAAGGCTGCGGGCGCGCGGGGCGGAGAAGAGGAAGGAGGCGAGTGATCCGCCGAGGGAGAAAGGAATGCGGCTGACCCGCAGAATCGAGAGAGGGGGGGCGTGCGGTTTATCCGCAAAGAAAGGGGGGCGCGGCTGATCCGCAGAATGAAGCGTTTGACCCGCCGAGAAGAGGGGGGAAATGAAAGAGAAAGCGGTTGATCCGCCGAAAGAGAAAGCGTTTGATCCGCCAGCGCATGCAAAAGAGAGGAGGGAAGGCGGGCAATCCGCCGAAGAGGGGTTATGATGAGGAGCAGGGGGGGCGGCGGGGGGGAGGGGGAGGAGGAGGAGGAGGAGGAGGAGGAGGAGGAGGAGGAGGAGGAGGATAAAGTGTTTTTTTAGTCGGCACCTGAACAACGCGCAACGTCTTCATCAAACAAACGCGCCCAGAAAACAAGCACAGAGCAACAAAAACGCAGATCCGACCAGCAGGCGACGCCAAGCAAACATCGTGGCGCCAGGGCAAAAACAGGACGCCCGAACAAACACCTCGACTTATTTAACTTATTAAGTTGGCTATTAAGTATGTATATGTATAGTGTTAAGTTGTTAATAGCAACATAGTATCGTATAAATTAGTACCTCTCACGTTGACTATATGTGCTACATGCTACAACAACTCTCTCGGCCATCCCAGTGGAGGGCGCTTTTTCCTGGGGCAGGCCACCTGCGCGAGGCGAAGCGGCAAGGTCTTGACAACGCGGGAGGACCCGGCCGCCTTTGAAGGGGCCCTGAGACACACAAATAGATACACACAAATAAAGCGATTCCCCATATTTTCTCATATTTTCTGGGTTTTTGTCTTCCCACCCAATTCCCATATTTTCCCATATTTTCCGGGGAATCGACGATTAATTGTGTCTGTGTTTTTTCCCCTCCTGAGCCTTACTCGGAGGCTCACGCGGGCAGGATCCGTCCGCATCGGACGCGGGGAATCGGGCAGCGGAGGCCCGTCCGCAAGGAACCTTCCACGCCCTGAGACCCCAGGACGTCCACCGATTCTTGGTGTGGGAACGTCGCGCTTTCCATCGCAACACCATCGAACTCCAAGAAATCCAGGGCGTTTCTTGGCATGGGCCTCCACTCTGTGTGGGCTTGGCATGTGCGTCGGACCGGGCTGCGTCGACACGGAGTCGAAAGCGAACCGAATCGCCCGCGCTGGGATGCACACCACCGCCATCCAAGCATCAGTCGCAACGGATCGTCGGAATGTTGGACTCTAATCGGACCAAGCCGGTCGAACCCGATATCCAGTCGATCGGATCGTGACGGACCCTGCGGAGGCCGCTTGCGCGGCACACGGCGCAGAAAGGAGGGCTGCCCCGCGCGACACGCACGCGGGCAGCTCCCTCGCCCCTGCCCGCCAGTCATTCTGATCTGCGCCGCCCACCTGGCTCCGCGGGCAGGAAGTAGCTGGACTTGGCCGTGTGGAAGCAGAACTTGCACTCGTAGTTGCAGGCGCGGGTGTAGTGCCAGTTCACGGAGGTCGGCGTCAGGTGCTCGTCCTCCTTTGGCGGCGCGCACAAGGGGGGAGGGAGAGGGAGGGGAAAGGCTCCTTAGAAGGAGGCCGCTTCTTAGAGGGCGCCGGCCTGACACCTCTAGACAAGGCCCGCGCCTTCTACGAAGCAGTAGTGCTTCTAAGAGGCCTATCTCCTCCCCATGCTCCCCTTTGCGCCGCTGCCGACTCCTGGACCCTCGCGTCGATGACTTCGAGGGCGCCCGCCAGCACCTCCTCCTTTGGCTGGCGCGCACGAGGGGGTGTCGCGAGGGGGGAGGACCTCCAAGAAGGCGGGGGGCGAGGGGGGCTTCTGAGACGGCGGGTGGCCTCTCAGAAGCCCTCCACGGCTCCTCTGAGAAACGTTCTTTATAGCAGGGACCGACCGTCCCGGCATTCCAATCGGCCTACCACGGCATGATCTCAGAACCCAGAAGATGTTCCCAGAACGGAAGCAGTGTACGTTCTTGGGACATGAGCCCGACGTGTCGAAACACGACGATGTTGGCCAGAAATCTTCTGAGAACATGTCCGGCAGACCACCAAAAGTTCGCAGAACACCATTTGGCGGGCCCGTGGGCGAGCCAAGACGCCTCGCCACTGCTCGATTCTGACCGGCATCTGTGAAGGGGCCCTGGGACACACAACTACATACACACAAAGAAAAATATCCCCCATCGTTTCCCCGTATCTTCTGGGCTTCTGTCTTCCCCCCCACTTCCTATATTTTCCAATCTTTTCTGGGTTTTTGTCTTCCCCCCCACTTCCCAGATTTTCCCATATCTTCTGGAGAATGGACGATTCATTGTGTCTGTGTGCTTCTCTCCCTCCTGAATCTGGGCGCGTCCGAGGAGGCCCCGAGCAGCCCCCCCCCCCCGCCTTCTCGAACACCGCCCCTCCTCGCGCCACCCCCTCCCCCAAAAACACTCGACGCGGTGACTGCTGCCCAGCACGCCATGGGGCCGAAGGACACACACAGACACACATACATACACACAAATAAAAATTGTCCCCCATATTTGGCCATGTTTTCTGGGCTTTTGTCTTCCCCCCCACTTCCCATATTTTCCCATATTTTCCTGGCACTCGACGATTAGTTGTGTCTGTGTGTTTTTTCCCTACTGAAACACGTCTCTCCCCTGAGGTCGGGACTTCGGTCGGGCATGCCCCGCTACAGGCGGACTTCGGAGGAGAAATCAAAAATAGCCCAAAAGTAATCACAAATAGCCAACAATAGTCAAACGATCGTCCCCAGACTGTTTTTTTTGTGACCGTTTTTGGATACTCTTCCTGCAGAGGGACATACCCGACTTACGCCTGGACCTCTGTCTTGGCACCGGCTCGTCATCCTGAGCCGCTTCTTGAAGCCACCCCGGGGCCCCGCCAAAGAAGGCCCCGAGGGACCCAGCACGACCACAAGACTGCCGCCGTGATTGCTGCACTTGGCGAAGACCCAGCGGTGGAAGTGAGAGGGGGCAAGCCTTCGGTCGGGCATGTCCTCCTACAGGCTGCTTTTGGAGGAACAGCGAAAAATGTCAAAACATATCCCCAAATGGTCAAACCATACTGGAACAATCGTCCATCGACAATTTCTTTGACCATTTTTTCATACTCCTCCTGTAGAGGGACATGCCCGACTTGACCCTCGATCCATGCTTGCGCTCGCCTGACACTTCCGCGACATCCGCGGGCTCTCCGCCGGCATCCCCCCCGGCGAGGACGCGCCGCCCCTGCGCCTCGCCCGCCTGGAGGGCGCTTTTTTCCTGGGGCAGGCCACCTGCGCGAGGCGAAGCGGCGGGGTCTTGACAACGCGAGAGGCCCCGGCCGCCTGACGCGGTGGCGCACGCGGGCAGCATCAGTCAGCATCGACTCGGGGAATCGTTAGGGCAGTCCTCCTGTGGGGGGGGGACGGGCCCGAGTTAGGGCAAGCCTTCTGAAAGACGGCGGGGCTTCCCAGACGTCCCCCAGCCCTCTGAGAGCAGCCGCCTCTGCCTTCGGAGAGAGGGCTCCGCACACTGCTCCTCAAAAGGCCCGGGAGGCCTTCCGAGCCCTCTGAAGAAAGGCCCGCCCCCTCGGACTTCCCCCGCCGGCGCCACCTCCTCCTCCTCCCCCTCATCCTCCTTTTCTTCCTCTTCTTCTTCTGATTATTCTTAGGCACTATTCGTATCATTATTATGCTTCTTCTTCTCCCTCCTCATACCTCCTCCTCCTCCTCCTCATTCATCCTTCCTCCTTCCTCCTCCTCCTCCCTCCTTCCACAATCCTCCGTCCTCCTCCTTCATCCTTCCACCTTCCTCCTTCAACTTCCTCCTTCCTCCGCCATCCGTCTTCCTCCTTCATCCTTCCTCCCTCCTCCTCCTCCCTCCTCCTCCTTCCTCCTCCCGCCTCCTCCCTCCTCCCCCTCCTCCTACCTCCTCCTCCTCCTCCTGTTCTTCCTCCTCCTACCCCTCCTCCTCCTTCCTCCTGGCCCTCCTCCTTCTTCCTCCTCCTCTTCTTCTTAGTCGTATTAATATGATGCTGATTATGCTTCTTCTTCCGCATCCTCCTCCTCCTTGCTCCTTCCTCCTCCTTCCTCCTTCCTCCCTTCTCCTTCCTCCGTCCTCCTTCTTCCTTCCTCCGCCCTCCTCCCTCCGTATTCTTCCTTTATCCTTCCTCCTTCCTCCTTCCTCCTCCTCCTCCTCCTCCCTCCTCCCTCCTCCTCCCCCTCATCCTCCTTCTCTTCCTTGTTCTCATTATGTGTATTAGTTCTCCTCCTCCTCCTCCTCCCTCCCTCCCTCCCTCCCTCCCTCCCTCCCTCCCTCCCCTCCCTCCTTCCTCCTCATCCTCCCTCCTCATCCTCCTCCTCCTCTTCCTCCTCCTCCTCCTCTTCCTCCTCCTCCTCCTCCTTCTCCTCCATCTCCTCCTCGTTACTCCTTCCTCCTTCCTCCGTTTTCCTCCTTCCTCCTTCCTCATTCCTGCTACCTTCTCCTCCTCCCCCTCCTCCTGCCCCCTCCTCCTTCTCCTCCCTCCTCCCTCCTTCCTTCGTACTCCTTCCTCCTTCATCCTCCCTCGTTAATCCGTCTTCCTCCTTCCTCTTTCCTCCTTCCTCCTCCTCCTCCTCCTCCTCCTCCTTCTCCTCGTCCTCCCCCTTCTCTCCCCCCCTCTTTGATCCACCCTCCTCCTCCCTCCTCCCCATCCTCCTCCTCCTCAGCATCTTTAGTATGATCATTCGTATAGTAATGTATGTGGTTCGTCGTCTTCGTAATAGTATGTATGTATTCGTGTTATTGTTATGATTATTCGTATTCCCGGTATGCATGAACATTCGTATTCTTATTCGACTGCATATTATTATTGTATGATTCCTGCTCCCCCTCCTCCGTTCTCAATTATCCTCCTCGTCCTCCTCCTTCCTCCTTCCTCCTTCCTCCTTCGTCCTTCCTTCTTCCTCCGTCGTCCTCCTCCCTCCTTCCTCCTTCCTTCTCCTCCTTCCTCCATCCCCCTTCCTCCGTCATCATTCCTCCTTCCTCCTTCCTCCTTGCGCCTTCCTCATCCCTCCTTCCTCCTTTGACTTCCTCCTTCCTCCTTCCTCCTTCCTCCTTGCTCCTTCCTGCTCCCTCCTTCCTCCTTCAACTTCCTCATTCCTCCTTGCGCCTTCCTCGTCCCTCCTTCCTTCTTCTTCCTTCCTTGTTCCTCCTTCTCCTCCTCATCCTGCCTCCTCCCTCCTCCTCCCTCCTCCTCCCTCCTCCTCCCTCCTCCTCCTCCTCCCTCCTCCTCCTCCCTCCTCCTCCTCCCTCCTCCTCCTCCTCCTCCTCCTCCTCCTCCTCCTCCTCCTCCTCCTCCATCTCCTCCTCGTTCCTCATTCCTCCTTTCTCCTCCCTCCTTCCTCCGTCTTCCTCCTTCCTCCTTCCTCCTCCTCCTCCTCGTCCTCCCTCTTCTCTTCCCCCCCTCTTTGATCCACCCTCCTCCTCCCTCCTCCCCCCATATTCCTCCTCTGCATCTTTAGTATTATCATTCGTATACTAATGTGTGTCTTCGTCTTCTTCTTACTATTATATATTCATGCATGTTTTTATTATGGTTATTCGTATTCACAGTATTCATAAACATTCGTATTCTTATTCGAATGCAAATGATTTCGTTATTCCTGCTACTCCTCCTTCCTCTATTCTCCTCCTCCTCCTCCTCCTCCTCATTCTCCTTCCTCTTTCCTCCTACTCGTCCTTCCGTCTTCCTCCGTCTTCCTCCTCCCTCCTTCCACCTTCCCGCTCCCCGTGAACATCGGCAAGAGCAAGTACTTGGCCAGCTCAAGCGAGTTGGCATCTGCCCTCGATGCGGCGTGGAGCTTGCCAGCGACGACCAGGGTAGATGGGGCTAAACGCTTGGGCGGCGACATCACCATGGGGGCGCTGCGACGCGTTGCGGCGACCAGTGTGCGCCAAGCTGCAGCCCGACGACGCGGTCATCGCTATGCCATCCGTCGCGAAGCTGGAGCTGATGTCACCATGGCCCATCGCCTCGGGGCCACATCTTCAGGATTATGGGGCGGGGCCGACATGGGCCTCCCGCCGTCCCAGCTCCACGGCCTGCGGGTGAGTGCGGTCACCAGCATGGGCCGTCTGCCCAAGGGAGGTGCGAGGCGGTGTGGTCTGCAGCAGTGGCAGCCAGGGTATTGCAGGTGATCTTGGAGGTTGGCCAGCGGAAGCTCGCAACTTCGAAGTCCCCTTGGCAGGTGGCGTGCTCTCCAACAGACGTCTTGGTCCTCACACTAGACCGCGTTGGTTGGAATATGGTCAGCGGCACCGTCGTCCTGACCGACACGGCGGAGCAGTACGATCTCCATCGCACTTCGCCGTACCAGCTCAGGACCCTATTGGATGCTGCTGCCGTCCGGGCCTCTGACAGAATGGCCCTCTGCAGGGTCGGGTCGGGTGTCGCCGCCGCGGCCGCAGGGGGCGAGGCTGGTGGGCCGGCTCATCCTGGTGCACTTCCAGTGTTTTGGAGCGGTCTCAGACCACTCCTCCAGCGCGTGACCTCAGTCTGGACGCTGCGTCAGCAGCGGGCTCTGAGGGCCGGCATCTGCAACACCATCTGGAGCCAGGCCCGCTTGCTTGGCCAGGCCTCGTGCAGGATGGCCTTTGCACGCTTTGCCGGAGCGGCCTCGGCACGGTGTAGCATCGCTGTTACGAGTGCCCGGCGCATCAACAATTGCGACGGGAGCGGGTTGGAGCACGCCATCTGCTCTGGGCTACCCGCGTGCGCGAGTGGAGCGTGGAAGGCGCAGAGAAAGGTTTGCCCGAGGGCTCTTACCTTCACCAGCGCCCTTGCTGCCTCGTGTGGATCCCGCCGACTTGACTTCGTGGGTCAACCATCCAGCCGATGGACTACTGCATGGACCGTTGTTCACAGACGGCAGCGCGTTCAACATGGAGATCCCTGAGTTGGCCCGCGCTGGTTGGGCAATTATCCAGGTCGATCGGTTCGGACGCAAGGCGTCTGCCGCCTACGGGCCGGTCCCTTTCTGGGCTGGCCCGCGGCACACTTCTAGAGACGGAGAGGATTTCGCCATCTTCATGCTCTGCGACCTCGTCTGGCCAGGCACCCATGACGTTTACATCGACGGCCAGGGGACCGTCGACATGTTGCAGGGCGGGCCTGGGGCCGGTGCCAGGCCGCAGGACCAACGACCTCACCTGTGGGGACGAGTGTGGGGACACTTCAGCCTGGGGGACCTGATAACTCACAAGACTCTTGGGCATGCCACGTCCGCTGATGTCGACGCGGGGAGGTCCACGCACTGGGAGCGGGAGGCCAACGATGCCGTGGACCGCTTCGCTAAGCTCGGGGCCCACATGCACACGGGCATCACGTGCAGGGAGGTCCACCTGTGGAAGGGCTTTGAGGAGCTGGCTCGCGAGAGTGCCCGCTGGTTCGGTGAGCTGCAGGGCGTCATGGTGGACAACGGCCTGAACGACTACGAGGACGTGCTGGGCCCTGCCAGTTATCCGCCAGCGCTCCCTGCAGGAGGGGCCATCAGTGGAGCTGCGGGTGCGGATGCGCCGCCCGCCATGCTGGCCGCTGCCGCTGGCGCTTCTGAGACGACCGTCGGCGGCCAGGCCGGCGCAGCTGAATGCCTGCGCCTGGGCAGCCAGAGTGAGCTTGAACTTGAATTAGTATGGGACGGGTCGTGGAGCCAATACTGTGGAGTAGCTCTGCGCCTCGGCGGGCATGCACTATTATGTACACACATAGTTCAGCGCCCTGCCGAGACCATCACATTTTGTTTTCGATGCGGAGGTTTTTTCTCTGCCCTCAAGCCCAGTGCTAAAATGCTGGGGCCGTGCCACGGGGCTCAGGCAGGGCTGCGCTATCGTGAGCAGCTGCGCCGCCTTACCGAGGGCAAGTTTCATAGCACCAGGCCTCGCACCAAAGATCTGCACATAAGGGCCCCTGTTGGCATCGACAGTGATACGGCCCGCAAGCTACGTAGCACTTGGGAGCCGCAGCGGGCGGAACCACCGAATGAAGATATGCATGAGGCGCCTGGGGCCGATGCTGCCCCGGCGGCTCTCCCGAGCCAGACGGAGCAGAGCCAAATAGTGCTCCGATGCTTCGGGCTGGTTGAATCTGATTTAGATCGGGTGGTAGAGATTGGGCGAATCTCCACAGAGAGAGGCCGCAGAGCTGATAGTGACGGAGATTCATGTGAGGATGAAGCCTCCGAGCCTGATTGAGGCCTGTGTTCTTGGACTGTCCTTGAGACCACACGCAACGCTCCTTCCACCTTCCTTCTCCTCCTTCCTCCATCCTCCTTCCTCCATCCTCCCTCCTCCTTGCTCAGTCCTCATCCCTCCTTCCTCCTTTGACTTCCTCCTTCCTCCTTCCTCCTTCCTCCTTGCTCCCCTTTCCTTCCTCCTTGCTCCTTGCTCCTTCCTCTTCCCTCATTCCTCCTTCCTCCTTCCTTTTTCCTCCTTCTCCTCCTCCTCCTGCCTCCTCCCTCCTCCTCCCTCCTCCTCCTCCTCCCTCCTCCTCCTCCTCCACCTCCTCCTCCTCCTCCTCCTCCTCCTCCTTCTCCTTTTCCTCTTCCTCCTCATCCTCCTCCTGCTCCTTTTCCTCTTCTCCTCCTCCTCCTCCTCGTCCTCCTCCTCCTCCTCCTCGTCCTCCTCCTCCTCCCTCCTCCACCTCGTCCTTTTCCTCCTCCTCCTCCTCCTCCTCCTCCTCCTCCTCATCCTCCTCGCCCCCTGCCCCTCCCCCTCCCCCTCCCCCTGCCCCTGCCCCTGCACCCTGTCCGCATCACTATTGAAACCCAAGAAACCCACGGCACCCTGGAGGAGGCAAGCAGGGTGTTTCCTGGCATGGGTCTCCACTGTCGATGGGGTCGGAGGATCGCGCCGCATCGCCGATACAGGCGATGCATCGGCAATGCGTCGGCGATGCGGCGATGCATCGTCGGCGTCGGCGATGCATCGGCGACGTCGTCACGGGGAAGCACGGGCTCCACATCGACCCGCATCGTCGATGCATCGGCGATGCGGCGCGATCCTCCGACCCCATCTGCTCGGACCCCATCTGGGAGGCCTTCCCTCGATTTCGCCCTTTTGGGGCCTCCTGGAAGGCCCTCGTCGCCACCGCTGGACTCGCCTAGGGATGCTGTTCTTAGCGCACCCTGGGAGAGGTCCGCCCAACATCTGCGCTTACGTCCGAGGGCTTCCTCGAGCGCCCCTCTCGGCGGGTCGTTGTCGGGCGTCGCTCGAGGGAAGAAAGTAGAAGAAGAATAATAAATTCGCCGGCCCAACGGGCCAGAGAAGTGCTAAGATCTCCGCTAACTACTTAACAATATTTCTAGTTCGCGCGCGCGGGGCGGCCCCTGGGGGCCCCCGGACGAAAAATACCCCGGCTGATCCCCGGCCAGGTCCTGGGCGATCCCCAGGGGGGAGGCTATTTTTCGCCACCCCTCACGAGGATCGTGGCCTCCGAGGGGGTGGCTGCAATCGACTACCCCCCCTCCCGCCCCAAGGGGCCCCAAGAGCCCCCCAAGAGGCCCCAGGCGAGCCCAAGACGCCGCCAAGGAGCCCCAAGACGCTCCCAAGAAGCCCCCAAGAGGCCCCCAAGACGGCCCCAAGAGGCCCCAAATAGCGCTCCAGGGCCGGCGGAATGAGCGAAGCGATTAAATCAGAATAATAATAATAATAATGGTAATATGTAATCATCATAATATAAATAATAAGAACAATCGTGAAAAGAAGGAGACACGTCATACACATAAACTTTTGGCGCTCCGCGCGGATTTCTTGGATCTGCGCTGGGACCCCCCTCCCTGGCCCGCAGAGCGTGCCAGGGGCGGCGCCGGAGGCGCCGCCCAGGGGGGCACAGCGCGGATATCCAAGAAGTCCGTGCGGAACCCCAAAAGTTTAGGTCTACGTCGCTCCTTCTTCCCCGAGAAGAGCCACCTCGGCCCCCGTCGTTTGCGCTGCGCCCCTCTCGGCGGGTCGTCGCAGGGCGTCGTGGGGCCCGACGGCATCGGTGCCGCTCGCTGTGTTCCCCGAGCTCCTTCCGCGGAGCATCAAAGCGGTGGCGCGGGTGCGCGAGCTCCTCCGGCGGGCTCGACGCGTCCGTCATGGCGGGTAACCCGCAAGCGAAATCTGCAGCAGATCTCTGTGTTGCGGGCCCACCGTGTGGAGCTCGTGGCCAAGACGGTCACGGATGGTGCCGATGAGGATGATGATTGTCCAGGCCGACGGTGGAGGTGACAACGACTGTGATTACGATGACATGTTTCTTCGATGTTTCGATCAAGAACACAAGTTGGCTGCGCGCACTGGCGGGGAACCTGGAAGGTACGCGTCCAGCGGCGTACACGAAGGTGCACCCCAGCTCGCGAGGCCGCCCTCGTGACGCGAACGCTCGTGAAATGTGCCCTCTCGCAGCCCGTGTGCGTGCGTCAGGAGGAGGAGGAGGATCAGGAGGAGGAGGAGGAGGACATTTCGCTCCTGAACCCAGGGGTGGCGCGAGGGGGGTGGCATTCTAAGAATGCGGGGGGGTTCTTAGAAGTCCAGGGTTTTCCTAAACCGCCCTGGATGCTTCCAAGGAGGCTCCCCAGAAGCCAGGAGGGTTCCCCCAAAAAGCCGCCCGCCCTCTGAGAGGCATGCTGCCTTCTCAGAAGGCGGCCCCCTCGCGCCACCCCCTGTGGCGCGCGCCGCCAGCTCTAAATCCGCCTGCTCCTCATCCCCAACTCGGGGGCGCGCAAACATGGATTAGCGATCCATGGATTTGGCGCGCGGTCGCCGAATCCATGGATCGGGGGAGGTGCCCTCCTCAAAATGCGCCAGGTGCCGCCTCATTCGGCGGCGGGAATACGCGATGTCCAGTGGAAACAAGACCCGTCGCTAATCCACGCCCCCTTAATCCATGTTTGCGATCGCCTGACCAACGGCGGCAACCTTCCGCGTCATTGCCCCTTTCCCCCACATAACATCTGGTGCCGCTAGAACTCCACCTGCGACGATTTGGCAATACAGATTGCACTGCACCAGCGTATTCATAAACGCAGTGCTTCCAACAACCTCGAGTCGATCCACCAGCCGAGTTCAATCACACTCTTCACTATGCGTATACTGGGATGGACAAGAGGGCCGAGTATTCGCAGCATGTGCTTCAGGTCGGCATTATAACTTTTCACTGCGTGCTGCCTGGCTGCGCGCATGACTGCAAATCATGCGTGTGCGTCGGCAGGTGTCCTCCTCTTCCTCATCATCCTCGTCCTCCCCCTTCACCATCAAGCGGCTGACCTTGGCCAGGGACATCGGGGACGCGGCGTAGGAGAGCGCCACTGGAAGATAGGTTTTCACTTCCAAATTCTGCACTTGGGGCTCCCAATGGGCAGCGCCATTCGGAGAAGGAGTGGGACCGTGAATTCCCTCCCCTACGTGTGAAAAATCAATCGGCATGGAACCGAGACGCCTTAGCGGATCGATCAACCTGTGCATCGAAACAGGCTGCATCGGTACAACATCGAACTCGAATCGATCGACTGCGCCAAGATTCACAACGAGGTAGTGTAAGCATCGGGCCGCATCATATGCCAGAAACCGACATCGAATCGGACTGAGCAAGATGACCTCGACATCGAGTCGGGTCGATGGGGCCGACATGGACCCTGCTGTGCCCTCACCTGCCTCTCGGGGCCTCTCGCTTGCTGGCTGTCACTGCGTTGCCCGCCGGCCCGCCACTCGGCTCGGCGGCGCGCACGAGAAGGGCGGGCGTGAGGGGGGCGGCCTCCTGAGGAGACGGGGGGCGTTCTTGGGAGGCCAGGGGGCCGGTTAGAAGGCTCCCCCCCGGCCTCTAAGAAGGCTTCCTGGAAGCCCCCCCGGGCCCTGCTGAGAAGGCCCATGCCTCCCGAGTCGCCCACCCACGCCTCTGAGAACAGAGTCCACCTCGCGCCAACCCCACGCCAATCCCCAGTGCGCGCCGTCAGCGGGCGACGACCGCCACCGCGGCTGCCCTTCCCTCCCGCCACTGGCGGTTCGGCGGATCCGCGTCGTGACGGCACGGGCGTTGGTTTCTGACCCCGCGTGGATCGTTCACCCTTGGATCGGGGAGACGTAAGACCCGGGTACGGGGGACTCGGAAATCCCCGACGAGGTCGTCAAAAAAATGACGAGGCCGAGCCTGCATTTTGACGAGGCCTCCCGCTGCAGACATCCCACGAAACTCCTCCTCGTCAAAATCCGAGTCGCGGTCGTCAAAAAACGATGGCGAACCCGAGTCCCGGCAAACCCGGGTCTTACGCTCCCCCGATTGGAGGCCATTGGTCACTTTCACCTGATTGCCAGGAAAGCGAAGCTGTCTGGGCAATCGGGGATCTAGAGCTGAACCTCCCCCGGGCCGTCTCCCAGCTTCCTTATCATCCAGCATGGCGGAAGAAAAGAGCCACACTTTGTTGTCGCCACGTTGGATCCTATGTCGCAGGCTTCGCGTCTCAACTCCGAGGATCTTCGTTTCCGCAGGCGGCCCAACCGGCTTTGCTGACGTCTTACGTCGCTGGTTCTGGGCTCGGGGTGTCACGTCCCCGCGGTGCCGAGTGGGTCATCGCAGCTGGCTTCGTTGGCGGTTCCTCGCTGCCGCTGGCTGTGGTGATCTGTAAGCTTTCGCTCGTTCCCTGGCCCGCCGGCTGTTTTCAGTCGCTGGGGGACGGCACATTTGTTCATTACTGGCGCGCGAAAGCCGCCATCATGCCCTAAGCTTTTTATATCCTCGGGTGGCACAGTCTGCCCTGGGATCTGTGCACCGAGCGTTGGGCTACAAGCCGTAGCGCAATTGGCTCGAGCATTCAGCCAAAAGGGACGTTTTCATCCGACACGATGGCGTCCGAAAGCAGTCAACTGGAACACCGTTTGGCATCTCTCTGGGCTGAAATCCGCGACGCCGATATTCGGGCAGTTTGGTGCGGGGGCATTCGCGGACTCCGCTTGAACATTGATTGGCTGCGTGGTTTGGGCGGTCGCCCCAAGCTATTACAACTGTGGGAGCAGGGATGGCCACTCGAAGTTGCCGCTTCCCTCTCTCCGCAATCTTTCTCTAATCACCCTTCTTTGGGCCATCATCTACGTTGGGCGAAGCACGATTGGTCACGGTTGGAATCACTTGGCAAGGTCGAATTCTTTCCCGTTGGGACACGCCCGCCTTCACTGCATATCATTCCGTGCGCTTTGCTTCTGAAGCCCAGGGATGGCGCCCCTGCAGACCGACCGGAGGAGGAACGCATGAAAGCACGCTTAATCATTGATTTATCCAAGAGTGGGGTCAACAAATCCTTACCTGATAAGCCAGTCAATTATGGCACCGTGGAGCTCGCCATTTCACGAATGGCTCCCGGAAGCTGGTTATTTGTCGTTGATTTGGCCGACGCGTTTCTCAATTGGCGCGTCGACCCTTCAGACGCTGATTGGCTGGGATTTTGGTCACCTGGCCGGCAGCAGTACGGTAGATTTCTGTACCCCCCTTTTGGCATGAAAACGTCACCTGCCATCAACGACGAGTCATTGAAAGAGTTGCTGCGGCTACTCACCATATGTGAGTCCACCGTATGGACCGATTTCGTGGATGATCTACTCGGTTCCGAACCCACGGAAGACGAAGCTTGGAACGCACTGCGATCTACAGTGCGTTTCTTTTTGAAAGCTGGAGTGCCCGTCTCTACCAAGATCTCTGGGCTAAAACCCCCGGCGCGATTTCGGCGATGGCCCGGGTTATCCGGTGGGGTGGGACGAGGGGAGATGACGGCCGATAACCAAACCTTTTCGTTGTGGGCAGCCCCACGTGTGCCCGCGCGCACCAAACTGCGTACGGCAGGTTCGTGTCGTGCCGACCCCAGCGTTGGTTTTTGACACCGCAGGGATCGTTCAACCTTGAACGATCGGCCGCTGCCGCAACGTCCGATCGTTCAACATCGATCGATTCTGGGCCGCCGCCGGCGTTCAACCTTGAACGCCCGCGCTGGGGTCGCCGCTGGTCGACACGACGCAAACCTACCGTAACCTTTTCGTTGTGGGCAGCCCCACA